TCTTTTATACAAGAGAGCATTTTGCTTGCTTTAGAAACTGCAGCTTGGCATTACATGCCATTATTATTCTTGTGATCTACCAAAACTCCCAGATCCTTCCCCACCATTGATTCTCTCAGTTGTACCCCCCCTAGTATGTATGATGCATGCATATTCTAAGCCCCCAAGTGCATAACCTTACATTTATCAACATTAAACCTCATTTGCCACATAGTTGCCCAACTAAACAGTACATTGAGGTCAGCTTGTAAATTGGAGACATCCTGTAAGGACATTATTCCACTGCACAGCTTGGTGTCATCTGCAAAGACTGAAATGGTATTTTTAATCCCAGACCCTATATTGTTTATAAATATATTAAAAAGTAAGGGTCCCAACAATGAACCTTGGGGTACACCACCAACGGCCCTAGACCATTCAGAGTATGAATCATTAACCACTATTATGATCTTTTAGCCAGTTTTCTATCCATTTATATACATAGTGACACAAAATTACAACTTAAAAACTTGGCATGCCACTTACTAAATACCTCTGACTGTCTTCCTACCTTTGAATGCCCAGGCTGAAATAAAGCCACAGCAGTGCATCCTACTCAATTTGAATGCTCTGCACTTCAAGAATTTTGTTGAGACTCCGGGACATCGGGATGCACGGGGGACGGAACTGGCGGGAAATTTGAAAATGACAAAAAGTGACATTCACTAAATACACTAAAATCATATAGTAAAACATTACTGTATCAAACCATTTCACATACCTTTTGTCCCTAGTGCTTTGTCCTGTGCCCTGCCTGCATTTTTACTGTTCTTTCTGCCTGGAAACTGAGAAACGTCCATGGCGTCCAAAAAACATCCCTTTAGGTCAAAAGCGGTTTTAGACCAGCTAGAGAACAGCGATAGTAAATTAGAACTACTTGCAGAATTGAGTGATAATGATTCGTGGGGAAATTCGTCATCAGACACTGAAAACGATTTTGCGACTTTGCTCAGTGATGTGCGAACTTGGCGCTCTATTTCAAATTTCAGTGTTTTTGGTTTGATTATATTATTGAATTAAATTTATTATATTATTATTTTTATGATTATTTATTGAATTATAATTTATGATTTTGTGTTTCAAAATTTATCCTACCCGAATGTTTACTAGACTCTTGTGCGGACAGATTTCAGTGAGTTATTCCTAAAAATTATAGGCCTATAATAAAAAAATACATATTTCCATGCAAAAAAAATGTACCGCTTTGAGCACAGAAATATGGACATAATCAGACCGCTAGGGAGGTTAAAGTGAACCTGTGGGAATATAAATATGGGAACTGCAATTTCAGAATCGATTTTAAAAGGTGCATGCCTTGGGCTATCCTCCTCATCTAAATATACTGCCTAGTGAATCACAGACCTCAAATAATACTGTGGGGCCAGAGATTAGACTTCTCTGACATCACTGGGTCTATGGATCTTCTTAGTTACACAACTTTAGGCCTCTTTGCAGATAAGCAAAAAAAGTCATGCTTATTACTGATCTGAACAGAAGTGCATTGTTGTCTATGGATCAATGCACACAGCTGCATAAAGATCAGTAATACAGCAATGAATTCGGAAATTAAAATTGAAAATTTATGTTTGAGTACAGCAGTGTAATCACATATTTGCGCATATAGTGCAATGCTGGCTGCAAGATGAAGAATTTTACAAATGTACACAAATACACTTTTACATGTCTTTATGTGTGTATACACAAAGTCTTTACAGAATATATTACCCAGAATCTTTCTGCCAACAAGATCCTACAATATAAACATCAGCAAATTATTATGTCCATGCGCAAGAGGCCTTAAAAACAAGCCAGCAATCAGAGGTCCTGTATTGCCATCCCGACAGGTTGTTTCCTTTAAAGATATGTCAATACCTGCATCAAATTAACATCTGAGAACAGTATGAATTACTGATACATATACACAGGAAAAGCAGTCATTTTAGTACCTTTTGATATGCGCATCCTGGAATCACTTGATTATCCTATATTATTTTTGGAATGTTCATAAAACTTTTTGATGACTATACTGAGGCCAGTCACGTCAAATAACATTACTATGGACTGAAGAGACTACACTTAAAGGTTTTTTACATACATTCAAGCAGAATCAGGTTGATACTGCAGTAGAGCAAGTCAGCTTTAAGAGTAATGCACAGCGAAAACATTTGTATCCTTTTGTCATATTTGTTATGTTAGAATGATTCATTTTTGGAATTCGTTTTGTATATTTAGATTTGTTTTGTAAATTTGTTCGGAATCGATTTGTATTTTCGGAAGTTATTTCGGAAGATTGGCTATATTCGTTTTAACATGTTAATATGTTATTTTAGGAGATTTCTTATGCACTCTGAGTCATCCCTGCTAGTCCAACCCACAAAGAGAAATGGAATGAACTGATTGGACGATATTGACTTGAGTAAGTAATGAATGGACAAACTTCAGATTAATTCATTATGTTATGATTCTGAGATTTGGTTGGAGCCACCTCCATCCAACTCAAACACAATAAGTAGGAATCATCATCTTATTTCAGTTTTCTACCTTAATGTATTTATTGCAATGTTTCCATTTCATGTGAAGTGCATTTTTTATAATAATGAAAAATGTTAATGCAAAATAAAAACAAAATTGTTCCAAATAAATTCTGATAATTTGTTATGTTATTATGTTATTTTGGATACTTCAAACATTAACAAAACGCCCAAAGTAACTCATTGTGTCATCCAAATGAAACAAATGAAACCGAATGAATTAATTGTTTCATTATTTATTTCTGATACATTGAAATTTGTCACTATTGTGACATATCCCAATCTCCAAATGACAAAACTTTTGTATGAATTTTGATTGGTAACAAAACGAATTGCACATGTCTAAAAGTTATGCAACCACCCAGTCTGAGGAGGCTGAAGACAAAGAAGGAGCAGCAGAAGACAGCATCACTGTGCTCTCTTTTTCCATCAACAGCTACTGTATTTTTCGCTCCATAAGACGCACCTGACCATAAGACGCGCCTAGGTTTTAGAGGAGGAAAACAAGAAAAAAACATATTCTGAACCAATGGACTGCAGACACAGTACAGGAAATGACCAGAGATTATGGACAAAGTACAGGAGTTGCCCAGAGACTGCGGACACAGTACAGGAGATGACCAGAGACTGCAGACATAGTACAGGAGATGACCAGAGACTGCGGACATAGTACAGGAGATGACCAGAGTCTGCGGACATAGTACAGGGGATGACCAGAGACTGCGGACATAGTACAGGGGATGACCAGAGACTGCGGACACAGTACAGGATGTAGCAATCGTGTACGTACAGAGATGGATGCGAACCTCCATTTTGGCAAAGGCTTCCATCTTGTATCATTTCTACTCCCAAATTAGCTTCCCTCCAAATCCCCCCTCTCTCTCTGTTCAGTGACGTGGTCTGTATGATGCAGAGATCACAGGCAATCAGGCTCAGCGGGAGAGCTCCAGGGTTATAAATCCCACACTAGCCCAGGTGTCTGTTAGCTTCTCAATCTGAGATATCGTAAAGCCATAAACCAAGTCCTTCACTGAGCTTCAAAGACATTCCAGATAAGCCGTAAAACAGACATCACATTCAAATTCCACTTTCCCCTATAATTTTATATCTGGAGATATGGAAGACTTACATAAAAACCAAGCATATATTCAGATTGGTCACTTTAATACAAGTCGCCTGATATATTACACCCCCTAGATGGAATCTACAGGAGAGGAGAAAATGATATCTCCTTAACAGTCCCAAACAGGTATGTCATATTTCATATCTAGACGTTCAGCAGATGCTTCTGCATATTAATCTACTAGTGGCTAGGCTGCTAAATGCACCGCGGGTAAGTTATGGGTCATGATATAAGCTGAGAGGGATTTTGGTTCTAGCTGGGGTCTCCGCCTACAACTCCCTCCCCAAATGAGGCGATTGGTTCTCTGCTTCAGGGAGACACCCTGCTGAGTTCCTAGAAAAGCTGTTATGTTTGGAGCAGTAAGCTAAGCTGAGTTGAGTTGAAGTTGAAGAATTCTACCTTTTAACATCGGAACCAACTTGGGAGACGGCCCTTTTGCTCTGACACTTGAAAGCTGCTTAACCCAGGACTTATGGCAAGTACTTTATCTATCTAAACTTATTTCTGATATCTCTTTGCTGTGTTATTGCTCTCTGTATATTTATATATATATATATATAGTCTACATGTTTTCTGTACATATTTTTATTGTACCTTTTTGACCTTTTAGTAATAAATCTTACTTTCTGAAAGTGTTGAACTGTTTCTAAAGCTCTTTAATGCAAACTACGAATCCCTGCCTCTGAAGAGCGCTACTGTGTGTTTTAAAACGTCTGCATACATCTGTCTGCGGTGACATTGTGTATACAAACGATTATTCAAGCATCATAGTGTTATTGCTGATATTGCCGAGTTTCCTCTTTCTCTGTACAAAAAGGAGGTGGTAGCAGTGATAAGGGTTAATTGCGTAATTAACCTGACCCAGTAACAATCGCTCCCAGGCTGAAGGTAAACAGATTGTGGTCCATTAGCTGGAAAATCTTTGTACAGGGTGCAGCTGGGCGTGGCATTGTTACGCACGTGACAGCGTGGTTTTAGATTGGCTAGTTCTTCGGTCATGAGTTTGGTGAGAAGGGCTGGGGTCTGACACCGCGATCGTCACACAGGGGATGACCAGAGACTATGGACATAGTACAGGATATGACCAGAGACTACGGACATAGTACAGGAGATGACCAGAGATTACAGACATAGTACAGGAGATGACCAGAGACTACAGACATAGTACAGGAGATGACCAGAGACTACAGACATAGTACAGGAGATGACCAGAGACTGCAGACATAGTACAGGGGATGACCAGAGACTGCAGACATAGTACAGGGGATGACCAGAGACTGCAGACATAGTACAGGGGATGACCAGAGACTGCAGACATAGTACAGGGGATGACCAGAGACTGCAGACATAGTACAGGGGATGACCAGAGACTGCAGATAGTACAGGAGATGACCAGAGACTGCAGACAGTACAGGAGATGACCAGAGACTGCAGACAGTACAGGGGATGACCAGAGACTGCAGACAGTACAGGGGATGACCAGAGACTGCAGACAGTACAGGGGATGACCAGAGACTGCAGACAGTACAGGGGATGACCAGAGACTGCAGACAGTACAGGGGATCACTAAGATTGCAGACAGTACAGGGAATGACTAAGAGATTGCAGACAGTACAAGGGATGACCAAGAGACTGCAGACAGTACAGAGGATGACCAAGAGACTGCAGACAGTACAGAGGATGACCAAGATACTGCAGACAGTACAGGGGATGACCAGAGACTGCAGACAGTACAGGGGATGACCAAGAGACTGTGGACTTTTGGGGAGGGAAGGGGAGTGGGTACCTGAATTTGACAGGTAACCACTTCCACAGAGTTGTCCTCCCTTTAGTGTGGGCACCTGGCTGTGACAGCCGGGTGCCCACTGCGCATGCATGAGAAGCACTGTGCTTTGTGAATGGTCCAGCGCCTTCTGGGACCTGTTTTGTGTCCCAGAAGATGCCGCACCATTCACAAAGCTCAGCGCTTCTCGCGCATGCGTAGTGGACACCCTGCTGTCACAGCCGGGTGTCCACACTAAAGATGCCAGCGCCAGAAGAGTGTACAGCGCTTGAGCGAGGAACAGGTAAGGTCCTGCTGCAGAGAAGAGCCAAGCGGCCGGCCAGGTATTCTGACACGGCGGCGGAGGCATAATACCAGACCAGCAGCTCCACATTCACTCCATAAGACACACTGACAATTTCTCCCCTTTTTTGGTGGGAAAAAAGTGTGTCTTATGGAGCAAAAAATACGGTAATTAGGGTGCCTGCACTTTATACATGACAGTAGATTTTTTCATTAATACATAGTTGTTTCAAGTGATTATATTTCTAATATGAAATTATATCCCCTTACAGTGTTAAAATTCAGGCATAATATGCATTTTTACTTGCATCTTAAAACATCCACGCCCATATAGCAATTAAATTTAAGATGGCTAAATTGCTGAATTCTACAAGGATGATATGCACTGATAAGTATCTTAATAAGTGCAATTAGCTGCAAGAAAAACAAGGCCAGATGCTACAAGGATTAATTCCCAAAGTAGTTACGATTATAATTGCATAAAACTATATTGTAGAATATAATTTCATCTTCATAAGAATAGTGACTAATCAGTATTGTTACTCTGGTTTCCAGGGGAGTAATGCTAAAAACATAGGGGGGATTTACTATAACTGGAGCACTCATAATCTGGTTACAGCTGTGCATGGTAGCCTGTCAACTTCTAACCTCAGCTTGTTCAATTAAGCTTTGACAATAAAACCTGGAAGCGGATTAGTTTCTATGCAGAGCGGCACCAGATTTTGCACTCTTCAGTTTTAGTAAATCTCCCCCAAAGTGTCAGAGGGAAAAGAAGGGAGGGTCACATCAATGACCATCAATGATATCTCATGGGGTGGGTTCACATGCTTGATGTCCCGGGTGGCCCTGCCCCTTACATATTTAAGAACTGTCAAACCACCGGAGCAGGCAGAGGGTGGGAGCCAGCGTCTGAAGTGGAGCCTTTTTTTTTAATTCTTTTTTTGGGGCGGCAGCGCCAGACATCGTGATTGACGTTGGATCTACTGCGGGGGACATTCTTTTATTTTTTTCTTTTAATAAAGGACTTGTCAAAAACCGTGTCTTGTCTTTTTTCACACTAAACATTTTTTTTTTTTGTGAATAAGTAGCGGGGCCACGTACCCCAGATTCTGATAAGCCCCCTGTCTGCAGACCCCCACAACCACCAGCCAGGGTTGTAGGGAAGAGGCCCTAGTTCCCATCAATATGGGGACAAGGTGCTTTGGGGGGGGGCCCCCTGTCCCAAAGCACCCCCCCATGTTGAGGGAATGTGGCCTGGGAGTGTTCAAGAGGGGGGGCGCTCACTCATCCCCCCCCCCCTTTCCTGACCTGCCAGGCTGCATGCTTGGATAAGGGTCTGGTATGGATTTTGGGGGGGAACCCCACGCCATCTTTTTTTAAATTTTGACATGGGAGTTCCCCTCAAAATCCATACCAGACCCAAAGGGCTTGGTATGGATGGTAGGCGGGACCCCACACCGTTTTTTAATTTATTATGGTGCCAGTTTTTAAATATAATTACGCTTTTTTTTCTTCACTATAGCTCAGAGATTCAGTTGTCACTTTCCCCCCCAGCTAAAAGAAAGAAAAAGTTTCCTTTTAGTTTATTTCCCCAAGTTAAAAGAAACAATGTTTCCTTTTAGTTTCTTAAAGGGACAGGGAAAGGGGCAGCTAATTCTGTGAGCAATAGTGAAGAAACAAAAAGCCAACAATTGCATTTAAAAATCGGCACCAACATACACTTCGTATTGCCAAAAAAATTCTTAATAAATTTGTAAACCGAGGCATTCTTTTCAATGGATTTTCATTCGTAAACCAAAAATTATGTTAATCGAGGTATTTGTAAACCGAGGTATACCTGTATGTTTAAAATACTCTATCCTGGCAGTATGCTGGAAAGTCAGACCACTGCCCTCACATACAACACAGTGGCCTGGGTCCCAAGTGCTCTAACATGCCCCCTGCACACTGCTCATATTAACGGTTTCTGGGCCCTTCAGCAGCTTTGTTAATTGACACAGGCTGATGCATTGCATGTGAGAGCAGAGATCAGACAGCATGCTGCCAGCACAGGGTATTTTACCCACTTGCCCTCCTGAGGATTTACCCCCCCTTAATGACCAGGCCTCTTTTTGCTACTCGGCGCTGCACTAATTCAACTGATAATTGCGCGGTCATGCAATGCTGCACCCAAACAAAATTTACATCCTTTTTTTCACACAAATAGAGCTTTCTTTCGGTGTAATTTGATCACCTGTGTGCTTTTTATTTTTCACGCTATAAATAAAAAAAGGCCAAAAATTTTGAAGAAAAACAATATTTTTTACTTTCAGCTATAAAAAATATATAGTAAACTCAAACTTGGTTATAAATTTAGGCCAAAATGTATTCTGCTACATGTTTTTGGTAAAAAAAATCCCAATAAGTGTATATTGATTGCTTTGTGTGGAAGTTATAGCGTCTACAAACTATGGTATAGATAATGGAATTTACGCCATTTTTCTGCTATACAGCGCTGCACTAGTTTAACGGACAATTGCGTGGTCATGCAATATGGTACATAAATTAAATTTACATCCTTTTTTTTTCCCCACAAATTGAGCTCTTTCGGTGGTATTTGATTGTCTGTGTGGTTTTTCTTTTTTGCGCTATAAAAAAAAAAAAAAAGGCTGACAATTTTGAGGAAAAAAAAAAAACAATATTTTGGACTTTTTGCTATAAAACATATCCAGTAAAAAAAAAAAAAATGCAAAAATCAAATTTAGTCATAAATTTCTGCCAAAATGCATTCTGCGACATGTCTTTGCTAAAAAAAAAAAACCCAATACGCGTAAATTAATTGGTTTACGTGAAAGTTATAGCGTTTACAAATGGCGGGAAAGATACTGGGATTTTTAGGTTTTTTTTTTATACTAATAATGGCGGCGATCAGTGAATTATGGCGGTGATCAGGGACTTATGGCAGCAACCAGCGACTTATGACGGGACTGCGGCGGACATTCTGACATTGGGGGGTACTGACTTGGGGTCACTGACAGCCCCAAAAACACTAATACAGTGATCAGTGCAAAAAAAAAAAAAAAACACTGACACTGTACTAATGGCAATGGGGAGGAAGGGGTTAACTTTATTTTGCAGGGAAGGGTTATAGGAGTGAGGGGGAGTGTTTTACTAGGGGGCGGGGGTGTGTACTGGCAAGACTGATCGAGAAAGAGAAACTGTTCTTTCTCGATCAGCTCATCCTCGAGCTGACAGGGAAGTGACAGACAGCACAGCTACTGCAGCTGTGCTGTCTGTCACTGTTTGCCGCCGATAACCGGGAAATAGCCGCTAAGGAGCGGCTGTGACCCGGTGACTGATATCTGCGGCGGTGATCCGCGGGATAGATAGGGCGGCGGTGCGCCTCGCGCGCGCCCCCTATTTGTTTGCAAAACACGCGTTTTAAAATGTGGTTTTGCCTGCGAGTGCCGCCCTGCCGCCGTATATGTACAGTGGCTGGGCGGCATGTAGTTAACACTTTCTTCCTCATGTAAAAACAAAAAGACACGCATATATGTAGTCTAATTTTATTACAGTAATACATGTGTAGGGATATGCTGCCCTCTAATGTCTGAATTTGAAAATGCCTGTAAATATCTGCAAACCCAGTATATTATGCATCCACTTCTTGACCCTGGGTTGTTGTCTTTGAAACCCCAGAATAAGGAAGTGGTAGAGAGAGAGTCCGAGTCACACGTCATGTCCATGCTTCTAAACCACAAGCCAGAAGGGACTATTATGCAAGTATTCCTATGTTCTAATAGTTTTACTGTAGCTGCAGAGTGTATATCTAAATACTTTAACCAGACAGAGTATCTCAGTCCTATTGTTATTTCACATACACAGTGCCAGATAGTTAGGTCTGTGCTGCTGTCTGTATGTAATGGTCACCCTGCTTTTAACTCAATAACAAGCATAGGCTAGAGCCAGGTTAGGCATCCAATGTCTGCAAATACAGTATATTATGCATCCATGTCTTGTCCCTGAATTGTTGGCTTTGAAACCCCAGAAAGAGTAAGTGGAGAGAGAAAGGGTCATGTACGTGGCCGAGACCAGGCTGACTATGTCACAAGTTAGCCTGCAGTTTCTTGTTTGTGTATTCTTACCTCCTTGCTGCAGTGCTTTCCCTGATTCCCTTCACATGTGTGGTTTGTCTGTGCTCACCTATGGGAGTCGCCTGCTATTCTCTGGGTTTTATTTCCTTCCCTTCCATCACTTCCTGGCCGTGTCCTTGTTTGCCTGTCTATATAAGACTTGCTCAGTCTAGCCCACTTTGCCTGAGCAACTTCTTAGTTCTCTGAGCTCCTGTTTGTTGCTACTCCTGTATCTGATTATCTGTGTACAGACCCCGGCTTCGTTCACCGACTGTGCTTGATTTCCGCCCGTCCTGAACTCAGCTTGTCTATTGGATTTCCTGTTGTCTCCTGCCATTGTACTGTGCTCACGTGAGCGGTCTCCGCATCCTCAGCTGAGCATACCTGGGGGACGCGACCTGGTTCTAGCTTGCTGCAAGCCCATCCCCATCATCAGGGGCACTGGTGAAGAAGCAGGCTAGGGCTTGGACTCTGCACCCTGGGGAACCCTGAGTTGGCGATCCACAAGGGCTCACTACCACAGGCGCTTGACAGACTAGAGGGCTTTTCCTTACATCTCTTGTCCTTTTTTGCCTGGAAGTGGTGACAGGATATGACAGGGCACAGAGTGGCACAGAAGAACCTTTCAG